GGGGGGGAGGGTCCAAAAATAACGTGGGCCGTGTTGAATGCTTTTGAGAATTCCTCCAGTTAGATCTAAATTAAAAAAATTCTTGAATCAGCTGTATACATTTTTAATCCCAAATAATTTCTTAATCTGTGGCATCTGTTGCAAGTGCCAAAACATGATTTTAATATCGCAATTCAGATTTCAATTGTTGAAAAAAAAGGTAAGAAAATATACGGAAAGCAAGGAGAATTGTTAAAAGAATGAATTGTACTTTTACTAAACGTACTATAAAATATTTCATAGTTTAGCTTTGTTTGTTTTTTTGTCTCACAAGAGCAATGTCCACTGCAACGACTGTGCGGCTGATTTCTCTGACCCTGTGTATGACGTCACTGGTCAGTCGTGGCTCCGCTCAAGTGGTCAGTAATCATGTCCAGGATCCGGGGGCAAAAGGCGCCAAAGTGGTGGAGGCGGTCATCCAGACGATAAAAGACGTGTGTCTCTTCAGGTATCAGCACTTCTTTCCTACAGAACTACTGGACAAAGGGGAAATGTAGACACCCACATTCTGCATAAATACGTTAATGGCATTTTTTTTTTACTTATGACGTCACAGCGACCTAATGTGACGTCACGGAGGGTGAAGATCCTAGATGTTTGTCAGGTCAAGTAGGTTTCAGATGGGGGAGTTAAAGTTTACCCGTGGGTGGTTGGCAGGTGCTCTGGTGGGGTTTGCTTTTTCTTTCCTATCAAACATCTATCGTCCTTATCTCCCCTTCTTCTTTTTTAATGAATGTTACTCTCTTGTTACACCTCTAATCTTCTGGCGCTCATATGACCTTATGCAGTTGCGAGCGCCGTAAAACCTCTACTAAAACTTTTTTAAAGTTTACGTTTACGTAGAGCATTAAACCATCTGGGTCAGAAGAGAAAGTGCTAAGAGCACGGAGCTCATTCTGTATCTTGTATTCCAGACGGAAATAAATCAAAGCCAACATTCTTATCAATACCAGTAGTGCAGCACCCCGTCCCACCCCACCTCCCCCCTTCCAGGTGGCGTCGGTCGATAGCCTATTGCAGTTAGGCTCCCGGGCACGTAATCATGAGATTGCGGGTTACGGGGGTTCGAGCCTCAGCTCGGTTCGACGTTGCACTTTAAACACATTTCCCACTTGTCTCGGTCCTTTCGGAGATGGACGTTGAATTCGGAGGTCCCGCCTCTTAAATAATCTAACAGTGTTGATAGGGGCGTTAAAGCTATACCATTTACCATGTAACTCTCCTCCATTATCAGTTGCAATACTGAAGTGGTTGTCAAATTCGCAATGTCTCCAGTCTAGGGCAATGCACAAGCACAAAACAATGTATACATAAATTGTAATTTTTGGGTGTGCGTTTGTGTGAGTGTGTGTGTGCAAGGGGGGGGGGTATATATTTTTTGTTTTTTAAAAATAATTTCTCTGTGATGTTGAAAAGCATTGTTCTCTGGATTTTATTTGTAATTTTCACCTCCACGTACCTCCTCTCACCCGTCCCCACTCCGCCCCCCCCCCTGCCTCCCACAAAGCGATGACTACGACTTCCTGAGGCGTCTGGCGTTTGTGGAGACCCAGGACGGAACTGACCGCATGACCTATGTCCAGGGTTTTGACGGGGGCATTTGGCATGTGAGATTTTCATTTGTGGATAATAACGTGTTATTAAAAAAAACGGCTACATGAAGAGAGGCAAATTTTACAGGAAGGATAAAAAAATAGTTATTGTTAAAACGCATTGCGTAATCTTACGTAATCTTTTTGTAGTAAAGGTTAAGTTATATATGTTGGGACCAAATACTCCCTAACCCTAACCCTAACCCTAACCCTAACCCTAACATTGGTGCGTTTTTATACGATACCTACCCGTAATTAGTAATACCTGTGATTATTCGATCATTATTTGATAAATTCCTACCTTACATTATTCGATACTCTTTAAAGATGAATATTTATTGATACCTCCTTATTTGATACGGTCAGTATTCGATAATACTTTTCCCTAGTCATGAGGTCCCTTAGCATCTTATTTTGATTGCTACTTTTGCCTGATCATTATTCGATATCTCCTTAGGTTTGACATTATTTGTTTTCCCTTCATCCGGTCTTTATTCGTTAAACTTCGACACCTGCTTTACTTTAAAGACTAATCTATACGAATTTGAAACTTTCAACATTATTATCATTGTATGGTTATAGTTATCATCGATTAAGATCAAAGGTTCGATACCAGCCAACTTTACTTGTATTCAGTATTAGATAACTCCTAGGTTTCTTCATTGCACCCTGCCATTATTTGCTGCGTATATATGCAGTAACAAACAAGTCACAATGTTTGGCTATTATCATTCAGCTATCTGTGACCTTCAAGTTCAAGCCTCGTTATTCGATTTTTTGTTGATTGTTGATTGTTGATTGCTTTATATTACCTGATATTTTAAAATGATCACCCAATTTAATGAAGTAGCAGAATGCCGCCACAGTAGCGGGCAGTGAAGTGAGGAGACAAGGGACCACCTAACGTGCCATATACATGTTTCAAGTATCTCGATTCGTTTATATCGTCGGTGTACCAACATTTATATTCTATTATGGTTTTGCTTACAATATTTTCTATCTATCAAAATGATCATTTTGAAAAAAATTTGCTTTCTAAGGGCTTACTAAGGTTTGAAACATTTCCTAATATTTCGACATTTCAAAGTTTCTCAATATTTGTCTTTCACTTATTAAAGTGGCTTTTCTGTTTTTCTGTTTACTGTTGGTTAATAAGACTTTTTAAGGTAATTGTTTCCCTTACTCAAGCAGTTATTTCGGGTTGCTGTTACTTACTTCATAAAAGAGGACTCCTCTAGTATTGTGACTGAGTGTTCTACCTTCAAAATCAACTATGATTTGTGTCTAATAAGTCTTAAACATTTTACTTGTGAGGTGATGTTGTGTTATAAAAAAGACTTTTAGGCCAAACGATCGGTTAATGAGACTCGTGGAGCAAGGGCAGGGGATGAAAGGAAATGACTGAGGAAATGGCTTTTGAGAGAGTACTTTACGAAGATTTATGGAACCTGGAGCCTTTATCCGAGTATTCCATTTATTATTACGTGTGAACCATCCGTCTCTCCTGCCTATTCTCCGCTGCTTTCTCTCTCTGTCTTTCTCTCTCTACCTTTCTCTCTCTGTCTTTCTCTCTCTGTCTTTCTCTCTCTGTCTTTCTCTCTCTGTCCACCCTCTCTCTCTCTCTCTCTCTCTCTCTCTCTCTCTCTCTCTCTCTCTCTCTCTCTCTCTCTCTCTCTTTCTCTCTTTCTGTCTGTTTTGTCTCTCTCTCTAGGCTCTCTGTCTTTCGCTGTGTGGTGTGTGTGTGTGTTTATCTCTCTCTATCTCTGTCTCTCGGTAGCACAACTATCACCATCGGGTGCTCTCGTGGTCTGGAGGTTCGATGTTGGCCTCTCATTCAATAGCTTTCGGTTCAGAAACATGGCAGCGACGGAACATTTTCATTTCTAAATGTGTCTCCTTTCACCTCCTTTCCACATCTAACCATGTTCTGTCGTCTGCCTTCGTCTCCACTTTCTGCCCCCACCCCGATACCCTTTGCCCCTTCCACTGGGCACCTGACTGTTTTTGCTGCCTTTCTGCAGCTACTCATTGGCCCATTCTTACTGCTGGTAGGTAACATCTAACAGCTTATGACATTATGCGGTTGCGAACGCAGTTAACACTTGCCAAAACAAGCAAAAATAGTAAAAAAGCTGAACAAGTAACAAACAAAATATAAAAAACCCCTCGAAAAGAAGCAAACAAACAACAGCAAAAACAAAAACAAAACAAAAACAAACCCAAAACAAACAAAACGAAAAACGAAAAGAAAAACAGCACCATCGACAAAGTTGAGCTGGAGATATGGGCGTTCTTGTTTTTGTACTTGTGGTGGGCGAGCCTTTTCCTCGGTTATTTCCCTTCATCTCCAGCCTTTGCATCACGATTCAGATTAACCGATCGTTGGGCCTACACATTTTTTCAAAATACCGTTTCGCCTCTCAACTGAAATGTGGGATTACTTACCGGACCAAGCATAGTTGATTTTGAAGGAAGAATACAGAGTCACAATATCAGAGGACTCCTCATTCATGAAGTAGATTCAATGAAGTATTTAATCAACAGCAGCCCCCAATAAATGCTTGGATAAGGGAGACAATTACCTAAAAAAGTGTAACAATACAACAATGAACAGAACAGTTAAGCGGCTTTAAATAATGAAAAACCAAAACAAGCAAGGAGTTTTTTCGAAATAGGGGAAACGTTGAGATACTTTGTATGCCTTAGGAAACTTTTATTGATTTTTATTTAGAAACAATAAACATGTGAATTTAGTCTAAGCAAAACCATAGTATAATTTAAATAACTGCACATTGACTGCATATACAAATTGGAGTTATTTTAAAAACGTGTAAGAAAGGTAAAGTGATCTCTATCCATATCATTATACCTCATTCAAATTCATGAAAAGTAATTCTGGTTAACATAAGATAATAATACGACGAATTTAATTAGATGTCATGAAAATTATTATGGTCTGACTTGAAAGTTATCAATTAATGTCATGCTAAAAAGTGTCGAAATATGACAGGTCAATAGACATCGAATATTGACTGAAAATTCTGAGCCGGTGGTGAACTATTTAGAGCATAGTAAGATTACATTATCCAGAATATTGACTAGATTTAAACGGAACCTTGATCACAGATCTAGGGAAACTCGAATAGTGTTGGGGTTATGGAGTTATTAAATACTTATTAGACAAGGGAGGTATCAAATACAGTGCCACAGAAATATCCAAAAATGGTTCTGATGAGGTATCGAAAATTGGCAAAAAGAGATATCGAATAAAGGTGATCATAGAGTAATGATTATAGTCAAAGATTGTACATGGCAAGATAGTTCACTCGGCCAAAAAAAGTGTCCGCGCATTTGTTGAGATGTCGCTGCAGTCTTTGTTTTGAAAGCTCTCTTTCGTTTCTCCAGAAGAAGTATAGGGATAGCACTTCCTTGCGCATCAGCAGTTCCGGTTCGCTTAGCGCGGAGTTTTGGGTATATTTTATTTTGATAACCTCTCGCTTCTGGTTCTAAAGGCAAATAAAACGAAGAAAATAGTCGCCCTTTCCGACTGAAGAGGAATTTTGTCAGCGTAACCATTCAAGAAGGCGTTATTCCGAAATTTTAATTACAATTCATACAAAAACCTGTTAGTTTCACTTTTGGTTTTTGTTCCACACAAGAAGGGCAACCCTGTTCGCAAAGCAGGCGCTTTTTCGAAGATTGCGCCTCCGGATCTTGAGGATACTTTTTAAATTGGTTCAAAGAGAGGAGTGAACTATCTTGTTATACAGAATCTTTGTTATGGTACAGAAAACATGCTACAAAGGGTATCAAATCTTCCTAAAACAGTTGAGCCATACAGTAATGTGATGATAGTCGTAATAGCTCGTTGGTTGAAGAACCTCTCAACACAGGGGATACATCGGCCGCACGTGCATTCATGTTTGACAGCTCTTTGATCACCTAGTTCCTAACACACCATGTTCCAAAGTCCGATGGTTGACATAAAAAAAACAACTGCTACCAAACTCTTCTTCTTCGACACACACACACACACACACACACACACACACACACACACACACACACACATACACACACACACACACACACACGCACACACACATACACACACGCACACACACACACACACACTACATGGCGTCGGTGTCCTAGTGGTCAGGCTCTCGGACTCGCAACGGTAAGGTCGTGGGTTCGAATCCTGTCAGGGGCCCCGACGTTGTGTCCTTGGGAAAGGCACTTTACACGAATTTTCCTCACTTCACCCAGGTGGGAATGGATATCCGGCATAGGCAGCGAAAGATCTTGTCAGTTTGCTAGTGTTTGAGCGCTTAATCAACTGCTTGCACTGTATGCTTCCCGTTAGGCTGAGAATGTTTCGGAGTGTGTTCTATGGTCTGCTGGGGTCAGCAGTTTTCGGGGGTAAAATAAGTGAGAAAATGGCCGCCAAAGATTAGTTATTTCCTTAGCTTAAGAGTCCGTGGTAACTGTTCATTTCATCAACGTTTTTAAGAAAAATCCACACGGAAATGAGTTCTTTAATGGGCATGAAAGGTGTTGAGCCAAAAAACAAAAGTTTTTTCACTTTGATTATTTTGAAGAGAGCCTGATTCCACCACGCTGCCTCACATATAGTCTAAAGCGCATAGAGCTTGCTGTTGAGCGGGGATATGCGCTATACAAATGCTATTTCTTATTATAATTACATAATAACGTTATTTCCATTACATTTCCCACACCTCCCAGATTGACAAGTCCCGCTTTGACAGGACCGAGCGGGAGTCCGCTCGCCTCACAGCGGAATACGCCCTTATCAAGCAGAAATTGGGCATTGATTGGTTCACTGTTCAGTGGGCGGATCTGCTCAAACCTTTATACTCCGGCATCGCTGCAGGTTTGTGTTACTAGTTTAATATAATTATGTAGTCTTTTAGTTGTTTACTCTTTGGTTCAGAAGCACTGTAAAACTCTTAGCCGTCTAAAGAGCGGCCCTGTTTTATATCCCTCCCCCCCCAAAAAAAAAGCACCAAAAAAGCACAAAATAACAAAAAGCAAAATAAAATATAAATTTAAAAAATAATAAATAATAAATAAATAAATAAATAAAATTAATTAATTAATTAATTTTTTAAAATAAAAAATATAAATAAATAAATAAATAAAAGAAAGAAAGAAAAGAGAAATAATAAAACAAAATGTATTGGGATACCTGGAGGTGTCATCTCTGACTCAGAGGTTGACGTGTAATGACCCTCCATCCTTCACGGTCGTGAGCTGCCGTTGCACATTCTGCCATACCCAGTTCAGTCCATGCTTTTATGTTGTCCATCCAAGTTATTCTTTGAATGGCAAATGGGTTGATGTAGAGCGGAGTGGTGGTGGTGATGATGGCGGTGATGGTTGTTGTTGTTGTTGCTGTTGTTGTTGTTGTTGTTAGTGGTGGTGGTGGTTGTAATGATTGTAGTGGTGGTGGTTTTGATAGGGAAAGTGAATTTGAAAATTTTTTTGAATCTATAGCAAGTTTGATGTCTTCTGCTTCATTTAAGAAAACAATTATTCTTTTCTTCGATCTTAATGTGTTACAAGTGCCGAAAAAACTCTTACCAACCCCCCCCCCAAAAAAAAAAACACAAAAAAAAAACAAAACAAAACAAAAAAAACACCTAAAAAGCTACTATTTTCCTTACGGCCATGTTACTGAAACTGGATCTTATTGTGTTACAAGTGCAGAAAAAACTACTATTTTTTTACAGCCATTTGTTTGTTTTTTGTAAGTGTTTTACGGCGCTCGCAACTGCATAAGTTCATATGAGCGCGCGGGACACATTAAACTTTTTCAGTTGGTAGGAAATTTTGAATTTTGCCCGGGTGGCGGCCGAAGCCTACTCTTATCGATTTTAGACCACCAAGGGATCTTTAACGTGCGCAACTTGCACACAGGACCTCTGAGATTTTTCGCCCTACTTACAGCCTTGTCACTGAAAGTGGATCTTTTTGTGTTACAAATGCCGAAAAAGCTGCTATTTTTCTAACAGCCTTGTTACTGAAACTGGTTCTTTTGTGTTACAAGTGCCGAAAAAACTCCAACAACCCCCCCCCCAAAAAAAAATAAATAATAACCCCTAAAAAACTGCTATTTTTCTCACAGCGTCTTTACTGAAACTGGACCTTATTGTGATACAAGTGCCCAAAAAACTACTATTTTTTTTACAGCCATGTTACTGAAACTGGACAGCGCCCAGTCACCGCTCCCCTCTGATGTCACAGGCCAGGCCAGCTTCTGGTCACAGAAGATCCACCCTGGGAAGCCCGCGCAGGAGTTTATCAACTCCACAGCTACCATGGAGAAGAGTGAGTGAGAATTCCCTTCGCTTTTGTAGAGAAATAATATTAAAGTGGGATGAGGTGAGGTGAGGTGAGGTGGAATTTTTTATAGTAGAGGGTTTTAAGGCACTCGCAACTGCATAAGGTCATGTGAGCGCTGGGGTGGTATTAGGTGAGGTGAGATGAGATCAAATAAGATTAAATGAGGTGAGGTGAGATGAGGTGAGATGAGGTGGGGAGAGGTGGAGTGAGGTGAGGTGAGATCAGATAAGTATAAATGAAATGAGACGAGGTGAGGTGAGGTGAGGTGAGGTGAGGTGAGGAGAGGTGATATGAGACGAGGTGAGGTGAGATGTGGTGAAGTGACGTGATGAGAGGTGAGGTGGGGTGAGGTGAGTGTTTCTACAAATTTATTGCTTAACAAACGGAAACCTAAACTTTTGAAATAGCACGGATTATTTTTCCACCCTTTTCTCTCTTCTCCTCCAGACTGTGCTCGAACTGGGAACATCGACCTTTTGTTCGTGGTAGACACGAGCTCCATAGTGCAGCAGTGGTCGCCCGTGGCAGAGTTCATGAAGACCGTGGTGGCCTCCCTTGACAAGGCGAATGGCTTGGGGCCCAACGCAGACAGAGTTGCCCTGCTTACCTACAGCAACCGGGCTATACTGGCTTTTCCTTTCAGCAAGAGTACGGATCTGCAGTCACTTACAACGTTGGTAGGTTTTTCTCAGTTTGATCTTTTTTTTTTGGTGTGTGTGTGTGTGTGTGTATGTTATTTTTCTTTGGTTGCTTTATTTCTAAAATCTAGGATTTTTAATTTTATTTTGGCCCCCATCAACACAAACTAGCGTTCAGCTGTGAGCTGTGCATGCGGCTGTTTAGACTACACAAACTAGATAATTAACTCTTTCTAAGCCATGACCCAGCACATCGGTGTCTCTCTTATACGACTTTTTGACTCTGGTGGTTGGAGGGCACCACTGATAGTTCCTTCTTCTTAAATTCTACACTTTCCTTCTGTTGTTTCAAACTGTCTGTCTTACTTTTTCCCAACACTATTACATGACCATAATTGTGTCGATGATTCGTGGTACAGAAAGAGTTAAGAAGGCAACCTTCCGACCATGCCTATCAGGGCCTTTCGAAGCTGAGATGGCTACTCCATTCAAGAAGAAAGACCAAGGTACTCGGTAAAAAAAAATCATTTCAACCCAAGAATCGAACTGGGGTCTCCTACGTGATACAGTGATGCGCATAACCGCTATATCACACACTCAGGTGCTTCTAGAAAAGTTAGTAATATGTTTTGTACGTGTTATGGACTAATGATCTAGTGATAGATAGATAGGTAGATATAAGATAGATAGATAGATAGATGGATATATATAAGATAGATAGATAGATAGATAGATAGATAGATAGATAGATAGATAGATAGATAGATTGATTGATAGATTGATAGAATACGCTGAATTCCAAAGCTTTTTGTTATCTTGCCTTTTTAAAGATAACTTTAAGTTGTGAGTTAACGTCTATTTTTGTAATATGTAGGAGCTAAATGATATCCTAAACGGACTCCAATTTTTGGCTCTTTGTGAGATTTTAGCATCACTTTTAAAAGCTGTTAGCAATATTATTCTTCCTTTTTTAACCCAAAATTATTACTGTCAATTCTCAAGTTCCGTGGAATTTCAGTATAATTTTGTATCAATTCCAATGTCTGTGAGTGAATTTCAGTTCTTTCCGAGATATTTAGGTCAAAATCTTGAAAAAAAAGTCGTACAAGGTAACGCGAGTGAAAGTGTCCGCGAACGACTGGTACAACAACATCACCGACACAAACACCACCACCAACACCACAACCATTACCATCAACAACAACAACAACAACACCAACTACAATAACAAAAACTACCACAACAACTTTTGTATGTTTGTTACTCTCTTGTAAACTGCTGTTTCCGGGGTGCCTTGATAGTCGAAGCAGACATTGTGCTATTGAGGTTAAAGAGGCCAGCAGAGTAAGCTTGATTCTTCATTTTGAACTTCTCTGTTGACATCCACCCCTTGGCGCTCATATGACTTTATACAGTTGCGAGCTCCGCAAAACCTTACTAAATCTAAACGAACAATAATAACAACAACAACTACATACCTACAGTTAGACCTGGCACCGAGGATTGGCGGGACCTCCAACACCACAGACGCTCTCAAGATGGCGCGCTCCCAGGTATTTCCGGCCGGCCGCGCAGACGCAGAGAAGGTCATTGTGCTCATCACCGACAGCAAGTCGGACGACCCGTGAGTTGTACATAGGTTTTATATAGAGTGCTCATATAAATAAGTCTGTCTGTCTGTCTGTCTGTCTGTCTGTCTGTCTGTCTGTCTGTCTGTCTGTCTGTTCAGTTTTAAGGTCGTCTCCATTTTTTCCCCCACTGCAACAGCAGCCAGTTGACTCTGAGTTCATCTCAATTTAATGGTCTTTTCCATTTATCTTGAAGACTGTACTCTATTCAGTCACCTCAAATGTTAATTTCCATAGATCTTAGAGCTTATTCGCTATGAAGTCATCTGAAATGTTCATTTATATAGATCTTAGAGCCTGTTCGCAAAAAAGTCATCTCAAATGTCCATTTCCATAGATCTAAGAGCCTTTTCGCTAAAAGGTCACCTCAAATGTTCATTTCCATAGATCTTGGAGTCAGTTCGCTACACTATAACAGGCTCTTCTCAACGTTTTTCTTTTGATCTTAAAGCCTGTTCGCTAAACCGCTACCTTACAAAAAATGGTATAGGTTTAATATCAACACTATTAGGTTATTTAAGGGGCTGGACCTCCTAGTTTAACGTCCGTCTCCGGTAGGACCGAGCCAAGTGGGAAGTTCGTGTTAAATGCATTTCCCAAGGACACAACGTCGGACCGAGCTGAGGCTCGAATCCCCTAACTCGTAATCTCACGCTTACGAGTCCGGTAGCCTAACCACTAGGCTACCGACGCCACCCCGCTGCCTTACAATTACAAAGTTTATTTGAATAATAATAATAATAATAATAATAATAATAATAATAATAATAATAATAATAATAATAATAATAATAATAATAATAATAGTTAGCATTAAGTATAGCTCAAATCCCCGCTCAACAGCAAGCTCTAAGCGCTTCACAATCTATATTATTACCCAACAGATCTGAGAGCATTCTGAAACAACCTCAACTTCCTGGGAAGCATACAGCGCAAGCAGCCTTTTATAGGCGCTAAAACACTAACACACTGACAAGATCTTTCCCTGTCTATGGCTGGGTACCCATTCCATACAAGCTCATCTCAAATGCTCTTTTCCATTGGCCCAGCACTTTTCAAATGTTTTTTTCCTTTGATTTTAGAACCTGTTTGTTTTTTATCACTTGATCTATAAGCTCATCTCAAATGTTTTTATATTCATTGATCTTTGAGCTTTTTCGCTATACTATAGGCTCTTTTCAAATTTTCTTTTCCATTGGCACTGCAGCCTGTCCACTATACAATAATAAGCTCATCCAAAATAATGTTCTTTTCTTAGATCATAGAACCGGCCCGCTATACTAATAATGAACTAATCTCAAATTATGTTCCTTACCCTGCAGCCTGTCCGCCATGAAAGAGGCGGTGCCGCTCAAGAATGCGGGCATCATGATCTACACCTTGGGCATAGGCCCTGGAGCCAGCAGTAGCGAGCTGCAACAGTTTGCCAGCATCCCGACATGTACCTTCAGCTCTGTCATCTCTGGCGTGGGGGATCTCAACAACCTCCGGCTCAAACTGGGCCGGGTCTCCTGCCAGGGTGAGAGAGAGAGAGAGAGAGAGAGAGAGAGAGAGAGAGAGAGAGAGAGAGAGTGAGTGAGAGAGACACAGTTTGATGCAACAGTAGCAACAACAGCAGGAACAACAACAAAGAGAACAACAATAACATCAGCAATGATAATAAAAAAAATAAAAAAATAATGATAATAATAATTAAATGAGTAATAATAATAATAATAATAATAATAATAATAATAATAATAATAATAATGATAATAATAATAATTGGAAGAAGAAGAAGAAGAAGAAGAAGAAGAAGAAGAAGAAAAAAAAGAAGAAGAAGAAGAAGAAGAAGAAGAAGAAGAAGAAGAAGAAGAAGAAGAAGAAGAAGAAGAAGAAGAAGAAGAAGAAGAAGAAGAAGAAGAAGAAGAAAAAGAAGAAGAAGAAGAAGAAGAAGAAGAAGAAGAAGAAAAAGAAGAAGAAGAAGAAGAAGAAGAAGAAGAAGAAGAAAAAGAAGAAGAAGAAGAAGAAGAAGAAGAAGAAGAAGAAGAAGAAGAAGAAGAAGAAGAAGAAGAAGAAGGTGACGATATTTACATCAACAGTAGTAGCAGCAGCAGCAGCAGCAGCAACAGCAAAGATAACAACAACAACAATAACAACAGCAAAAACAACAACAACAGCAACCAAATCAGCAACAATAACAACAACATTAGCAGCAGAAACAACAACAACAACAACAACAACAATAACAACAATGATAATGAAAATAATACCAATAATACCAATAATACCATTAACAATGATAACAATATATTCCGAGTTGCAAAAGTTCTGTCACACCCATTATATTACGCTAAATTTCGGTATAGCGTTAGAATTGCGGTAAAAGTTTAAAGTATGACTTGTTGGACTTATGAGACTTCTTGGGCAAGAGCAGACCAAATAAATCATAAACCGGAAGTAGTGCGTGAACAAAGTGTTGGTATTGATTTATCTCGGTCTGTATTGAAATCAACGGTTTCTACACACAAAATTTGCTTTGCATCACGTAGACAATATGCAAACACACCTAACACACTATAAAATTTCGTAATTTTTAAAGGTTGGATACCTTTTTCTCCTGTTTTCAAAATTTAAAAAATGATAAATTCAAAAAATAAAAGGGCTGTGTGTATGATAAATTATTTAATCGCGCTTTCTGCTGTTGTAAGACATGTAAATGTTTGCAGAGGAACCATCTAACGCTTGAACAAACGTTTTAACACCACTAGAACTATCCGAGACAAGCCTAGACGTCGTCAACCAAGGGCGACAACTCGACATCAGAATTGGTTTATTGTCAACACCCAAGTTCAAAATCCATTCCAACTTAGTGCAGAGACTGCCAGGCACTTCGAAGTGTCTTGAAACATCATTATTAGATATTTATAAGATCGTGGATTACGTGATTATCGCCCTTTATATGGAACAATTCTAACACTGTTTCATAGAAGAAATCGCCAAATATTGGCCCCACAACATTGTCGATTAACTAAAACTGCTGGCAAAGTGTTCTTTTCAGCAACGGTTAAGGTTTTCAATTCGTCGCCTTGATGGAAGAGAAAAAGTGTTTAAAATAAAAGAGAATAGAAATTTCACAAATCGAACGCCCCCTCCCCCCCCCCCCCAAGAGGCCCAAAGGTGGCTGAAATGTGATGGTAGGGGGTGGAATCTCTGCTTTTTATCGTATACATTTAGTTACCTTTTAAAGCAACCTCAAATAACGACATTATTGAGACGAAATTCTTTGTCACGATGACTACTCTACATGGCACGGATGATGAAATCTGCTAACAAGACAACGCCCAACCACAAATGGCTACAATCAATGAAAACTTTTTCCAAACACATCAAATCGTTGTTCTGGACTGGCCTGCAAGATCCACAAGCCATAAGCCAACATATAAACTGGTGAGGAACTAAAGGCTGCACTCCACAAAGAATGGCAGGGGATTCTTTAGGCAACCATAAGGACTTCAAATCAGTCAATGAACGGATGTTTTTTGTTATTAGTAATTCAAGCTGGAAGAGGCCACAAGCCATACTGAGTAAACTTTGATTTGGATTTTGCAAGAGTCAGTGTGAATAAAATTATCTCCCTTGAATAAGAGAAGACATTTGTCAATTCTTTTTATGCCATGTTGGCAGAAAATGAATAAAGATCGAGTGTACCAAATTTCTTTTGGTTATGTTTAGTAGTAAATGAGTTATTGTAATTTTAAGGTGGGAGTGACAGAACTTTTGCAACTCGGTATAATTAAAAATACTTATAGTGCTGATAATAATAATAATATACTTTCCAAAAACAATTTTTTTAGGCGGGGGGGGAGGGGGATTTTGTTAACAACCTCGAATAATCTTAAGATTTTGATTTGAGCAGATAGAATATTCGTTTTTTTACCTCATGGCTTTAGTAACTCAAAACGGCCCTTAAATGTCAGATAAAACTTTGTAGTTATTCTAAGGTAGTCAAATGATGCTCATAATGATAATATCTCTCACATTCTCACAATCCACAATAGGAGATATTTGGCCAAAAACCAACTTTAGGGTCAAATTTTTACTAGATTTTCATTCAAATCATATTTTTAAAGTTTAGCATGCCTTTTATTATTTCATACCTATAAATTGTTAAAACTTCACCTATAAGCGTGATGTAGTGATTTCAAAGGGCTTGAATCAGACAAGCAACTCATTTTTGTCCGTACATTTCACATTACGATAGGCAAGTATTATGTCATTAATTACATCTTAAAAACAATCAGAAAACGATAAATGCAGTTTTTGGGACACCTGAATAGATATAAGGGTCTTGAACATCTTGCTCTCACTAACAAAAATGAGGGCAAACGAGGTAGGGGTAGGCCCAGAACAACATATTTAACGAATCTAAACAAATGGGTAACAGGGAAAGATCAGGGAAACGTAGCTTTTTTTAGAACATCCGAGCAAAGGAATGAATGGAGAACCATGATCGCCGATGTCTGTCCCAGATCTGGCACTGGATGATGATGATGATTACGTCATTTCTCACCCTTATTTTTGTCTTTTTCCCCAGCTCCCGAGAACCTGCAGGTTGGAGAGTACACATACCCGTGCTCGGAAGAGTTTAGGGGACAGCTGCCTCCCAAACACAAAGTCACGGTCTGTAAACTATATCTGATAGTTTTTAAAAAACGTTTTAGTATAGGTTTTACGGCGCTCGCAACTGCATAAGGTCATATGAGCACCAGAAGATAAGAAGTGTTACAAGAGAGTAACAAACATAAAAAGGAACAAAGGGAGAAAAGGACGATAGATGATTGATAAGAAATAAGAAGCAGCAAACCACACCAGAGCACCCGCCAATCACCCACAAATTATATCTGAGATTATTATTGGTTATATTACTTGATGGAGGCATTGCGCTGCCAAAAGCGAAATGCTCGCAGCTAAAGGGGTTTGTAGCAACAACAAACAACATCTGTGATTATTATTGTTTATATTACTGTTCTTTTATATTATGCATGTGACTGTAAGCCTGCGTGTGTGCATGTTTCTTTGGGTTTTTTTTGGTGTGTGTGTGTGTGTGTGAGTGTGTGTTTGTGTGTTTGTGTGTGTGTGTGAGTGAGTGAGTGTGACTGCATGTGCGTGTGTGTGTGTGTGTGTGTGTGTGTGTGTGTGTGTGTGTGTGTGTGTGTGTAAGTGTTAGTAAGTTATAATAAGATAATATAAGATAAATTAAAATGACTGAATATTCCAGGACATCAACCTACAAAGATTCAACAGCAAAACAGAGCTGCATTCATTACACTCGTCCTTGCCTGTAGGAGCATTTTTACCAGAAAAAGGAACAAATGAAAGAACATAATTTTCGGTTCGTCAAAACATTAGAAAGCATGTTGCGTCTGCAAACGTTGATAAAAAAGAAGAATTTACATTCTGTGGACAACAGTGGTTTTCGGGGGGGGGGAGAAATATTTTTTTACCAGAGAGAGAGAGAGAGAGAGAGAGAGAGAGAGAGAGAGAGAGGGGGAGGAGTAGAGAAAGACTGATCACAGACAGACGGGTCAGGACAGACTGGCGGACCGACAGACAGACGGACAGGCAGATGGGTGGACATACACACAGACACACAAACAGAACAGACAGACACTCCGAGAAACCCCCCGCACACGCCACACCCAAAAAGAGGGAGAAAGGAATCCCCCCTATTCTACCCGGTAGACAGAATCAACGGCAAAAAAAAACCACCAGACTTTAGAATAACAAAAGACGCCCCGAAACATTTTAGCCCCCGCTGGGGGTTTTGGCGGGCGACAGGGCGAAGAACCCAGAGAGTACCACACTCCCTCCCCCTCCACAATCTGGAAAAAAAATACCGCACGTTGGCGCCCGCAGAAA